AATTACCGGAGGTTTGTCGCGGGGCTCTCTCTATCCCATTACCTCCGATTCCCGGGCGCGAGTACCGAATTTACAATTCAAATGTCCATTTTATACGTGAAAGAGTACTCGCGCCCGGCTAAACCAATATGGCGGTGTAAGGGAATTGGACCGAGGGTAGAAATAAAAATTTCCGGTTTCGGGTTACGAGGCTTGAGGGGAGGTTTACGGGCCGCGAGACGTCGATAGAATGGCGTGCATCGAAACGAGGGTGCATCGAACCACGTGCACGGTACCCCGGGTTTACGGCACGCGTTCCCGTAAACAAATGCACGCGTTATTTCCTCCATGACCCGCGGCGTGATGTTACGCGACCTCTCGGTACATAAACCGAACACTTTACGGGTCTCTACATTTTATTTCCTTTCGTCTCCAGCGGGATATCTGCTCGATTAGTGCGTAAGGTGATATGAAAGGGTCACTCTATATATATATATAAAATCTGAAAATATTTATGAAATTTTTCTGCAAACTGGTGCCGAATTATTTGTACATAAACCGAACACTTTACGGGTCTCTACATTTTATTTCCTTTCGTCTCCAGCGGGATATCTGCTCGATTAGTGCGTAAGGTGATATGAAAGTCTCACTCTATATACACATAAAATCTGAAAAAAATGAAATTTTTCTCTAAACTGGCACCGAGTCATTTGACACGTTAACACGTGATCATGGAGGCCCTAAGGAAGAACCCGATGTTCGTGAAGTTTCATTTTTCAAACAATTTTCTTTCTTTGATTTAGCCTAGACTAGAGACAAAATCACATTGTTCATATATAGAGTGACCCTTATATAGAGATAACATATACAAAGTGACTCTTTCATATCACCTTAAGGTGAAACTTGGTGCACCGAATCATTAGAAACTTCAGCACGCGATTAGGAAGGCCCTAAGGAAGAACGTGATGGTTATGAAATTTCATATTTCACGAAAAAATTTTTTTTACTTACCCCAGACTAGAACCAAGATCACACTTTTACGGGAAAACGAAATTTCACGAGCATCGCCTTCTTCCTTAGGGCCTCCGTAATCACGTGTTGAAGTTTCAGATAATTCGGTGCACTCAGTTTGAGATTTTATGAACATTTTCAGGTTTTATATATAGAATGACCCTTTCATATCGCCTTAATAGTCTCAATGTTCATGGATATTTAAATCAGTGAGCTCTGCAGCGAGAAATCTGGTGCATCCGCATTTGGCGCGTGGTTTGGGGGTTGGTCGAGGAGTTTGGGAGCCTTGGGGAAGTTTCCATCGGGGAGCAGGACCGACAGAGGGGTGCGACGATACTGCGTATCGACTCGTCGAGATATCGATTCGGTTCGGGCCCTCTTTTCTTCGCTCGTCAACGGCGTCACGCCGGAGAGTGGATGACGTCCTCGTCATCGTCGTATCGATCCTCGAAGGGCTCCAGATTTCGGCCCTCGGGCGCGAAACTTTACCCCGATAACCCACTGGCCCTCTTCCCTAGAATCACGGCCTGTAACCTTATTTTTTCTCAACGTAAAAAAATCACTGAAATTCTGAGGAAAAGTGTTATCAGATAAGTATTCGCTCTAACGTAACCCCTTGACATACAATGACACCTTAATCGTCTTATCGATCCTCGAAGGGTGATCATCTAAAAAAAATGTTATCTACGCGCAGAGATTTGTTGATTCACTCCATATGAACATTTTCTGAAATTGACCAATGCACTCGATTGAACAATTTCGTTAATTTCATTTTTTTTCCCTACGTGTGTATATGAGGTGAAGGTTCAGTCGCTCTTCGAACATGTACACTTCTTCAGAGAAGATAAATAATAATTACTCTCTTAAAGATCCTCTTGCATTTAATTTCATAATCAGACTGTGCGAGTAGTATGAGGGGAGAAATAAATGGAAATTAATTCGAAACGTGATTGCAGACGGCCTTGAAATATTCGACGCCTTCGGTCTCGTGCCTACTTGGTGGCGGCCGCCATGTTGGATTTCTTGGATTTTTTCTCGGACGTAACTTTCATTTCAGACTGCGTTTGTTATTTAGATATTGGATATTGTCTTTGGAACGATATAATGCGCATTTTTATGCCGACGTCCTCGAAAGCTTTCTCTCTTTAATCGATCTTAGGAAGTGAACGCGACACGTGCGATTACGTAACCGGAGTGCAGGCTCATTAAAAAAGATGCCACGTGAAATGATAATTGCTAAAGGACGCGTGTTATGTCGGCATACGGCTCTGTAATTAGGCGTTTTTTGGCGAAGGCTCGCGGCCATTGTTCTCAGCCTGGCAGAACTTAATCAGGGTACTATTTCTGCACGTACTACACCTCGAGTACTATTTCGTCCACGCAAGTCAACGGAATAAACGAGGTTCGTTGCGGTAACCCTCGTTCGTACCCAATTAATATCCCGGCTAATTCTCCCTTCAGGCTCGAATTAACTAACGACAAAACATTTTGTCGCCCGGGTTAATTAACATTGCGCGGAACTAATTTACCGGAGTATTGCGGTTCCCTCTGTACGGAGGTGCTGTTAAAAAAGTCCTTCCATTTTTAAATGCGATTCCGCATGCAAGCGTGCACCAAATTGTAACCAGCGGAATTGCGTTCCCTCGATTCTGCCATTTGTTACCGCAAAATTGGTAAACAAAAACCCGATACGTCAATTCCACCTCGAGTTACGTCCTTTTCTGCGTTAAGAGTCGTAAAAGGAAAAGTTACACAGAGTATCGAAATGTACTTGAAAATGTATGAAAAATCTCCCGCGGGTGAGAACTGGATCTTTCAATGTAACAATTATAAAAATATTTTTTCATAAACCTCCTTTTAGTTAGCTATGACTTTTCGCCGCGACATGTTGAGCGACCTTCGCTCAAGATTGGTAAAAAAAAAAAAAATGAGAGGGATAAAGGAAAACCTCCAAACATTGTACTTGCGGGAGAATCAGTGCAAGCTAATTAGCATTTAATCTGTCCATCTCGATGATTAATAACCATCCGTCGTCTGTATAAAAAAAATAAAAATAAAAAAGGGAGAGAAAGAATCGACCTCGTATTGAAAATACCGGGGAATAGGTCGACTAATTACCCGAGCCTAATTATTCTAATGATAATTGAATTCCGAGATGCACTTTCTCGATGTTAAAGGTAAAAGGAAGTCTCGGCTTTGCTCTCGATCGAGCCGATTGAAAATTGAGCGGATTTTCGAGTGAAACGCGTCCCAGGCCGTCGAGGAAAGGGGGAAAGGGCTTTTCAACTCTTCCGGAAAAGACGCGACGCCACTTTTCCTAAGCGGCTTACTTGCACGCGGGAAATTGCGACAAAGACCCCCTCCGAGCATTTCGCCTCCTCTTTCCTGGGCTACTTTCGATGGAGTCGCCCTGGCCCGTGGATGAACTTCCTCGAGAGTTCCGCAAGAAATGCCCCGCGATTTTAACATCCCGACATTCCTGCTTCTTCTTCCGCGAGCGGAAGACGCTCGGCGGCCATCTTTGATATTACATGAGTTTGGATAAAAAGAGAATTTCTTGGGAAGTTATGAGCTAAAAGTGGTTTTATTAAAAAGTTCCCAACGATACTTGCCGGCGCGGTTCTTCCCTTTTGGGAAATGGTTTTTTTTTTTTTTTTGTAAAGACTTTTCGTTAGAAAATCTCGCGGGCCTAGTCTTCCGGCAAGTTGGTGTAGGTCTCATCGAGTAAGTTAAGTTAAAGATAATTATATAAACAAAAGACGTCTCACAAATGAAGATGGTCCTGAAACTCGTGAAATTTAATTTTTTCTCAACTATTTTTTAAAATACCTATAAACAAATTTGAAAAGAATTGAAATTTCATGAGTTTCAGGACCTTCCTTATAGTCTCCCCATTCACGTCGTAAAGATTCAAACAATTCGGTAAACCGAGTTGGGTGAAAAGTTGTATAAACAAAAGCTCTTCAGGCCACTTTGACATCCCCTTAAGCAATCTAGTGGCAATTTAGTTTCAAAGCAATTTAGTAGTAAGCAATTTAGTTTCAAATCTAACGTGCTATACGTGTTCAACAATAGTGATTGTTCATTCCTGCCATGTTACCGCGTATGTAATTGCCTTCGGCGAGCTTTTTCCCGGACAAACGGAGACTTACTTTCGGCCGAGTCCCGGGAAAATTCCGGCCTCGCGTCCTCTCAATGGCCGCGTAAAAGTCCACTCGGATGTTTTTCCATTTTTCCTCCTCCCCTCTTTCCCATTTCCGAAAAGACAACCCGCCGGTCCTCTGGCAAGAGCTTTCGATTCATCGAGAGTCGAGTGGCTGGAGTTCTGAAAGAGGGTTTCCCCGGCGAGTTCGGAGTCGGAAAAGCTGCGTGCCGAGGAAGGCTCTTCTCTCTCTCTCTTCCTCTCCCCTTCCCTCCCCTTCCTCCCGTCTTGGTTTTTTCCTCCCCGGCAGATTTGCAACCGTGGAATGCCCCGCGAGTTTTCCTCCCCCGCTGCCCCCTTCTCTCCTCCTCTTTCCGTCTCCTCCTTTTTCTTTTACTTTTCTCCAAATGATCTATCGGAATTCCCTGTACGGGGGAGGCCCCGCGAAAAGATTGCGGCCATTGACGCGAATATTCATAAAAGGAGTACACACCGGGCTCGTTCCTATCTGCCTATTAAGGGATGGTGAAAAGGAGGATTTACCAGTTTTCCTCGTTCGCTCCTTTCTTCTCTCCTTCTCTCCTGTCAGATATTTATTCGCCCTCGAAGAACTGAATACGGGGCATAACCCCTAAAAGCGCTGGTTTTTAATTTCAGGAGTAATTTCGCCCTCGATATATGCGGTCCGACCGTGTACAGGGTACTATTTATTCGTTTATTAATTATTTATACAGGATCAATCAGAAAACATTCCAGAAAATGAGTATTAATTTCGCCGTCGATATGCGGTCCGACCTTATATGGGGTTTTCTTTTTTAAGTTTCATTAATTTTCGCAGCGTCTGACCATCCTTCCCTTTCTGTTGCAGACCAGGAGCTTCGGAGTTGATCCGCAAGAGGCAGCAGGAGCAGCGTGCCGAATAAATGACGTAGACCCGAGAAACGGAAGTGACGTAACGCCAGCTCGCAGCCCCCTCCTCCCCCCGGTCCGACCATAACCCCACCTGTGCCCATCTCGCTTCGTCGTCCAACTCGCATTCTCCTCCCCTCTACTCGATTTCCGGTCCTTCGCTTGAGCCAATCGCTTCGCCGCCATCTTGACCGCCGCCACTGCCACCTGCCGGCCTACTCAGCACTACCGCCGAGGCAGCGCTTCGTCCACGGCCTATCTCGCTTCGACTTCCGGCCTAGCCGAGACTCGGAAGTTCCGCCCCGGACCCCCTGAGAGGTTAAGGCCTAACCAGGAACGCCCCGAAGGGAGAACCACGCCGCAAGAGGCGCCACCGGCAAGATCCGCAGCACGAGGTTGACCCTACGGAGGTCGGCCGCCGACTGAGAGCGCGATCAGCCGATTCGTCGCGAGTGCCACCACGCGGCCGCGTCGGGAACCAGCCAGCCACCAAGATCCTTGGGGACCACTGACCAGATTGGGTATTTTCATCAGTACATTCGCTTGTGGTGTCTCGTGCGGGTCCCCAGGAAGGATCGGAGTCTGTGGCAAGGGCGAAAGAGGCTGAATCGTGAGTCGGCGCCGTATAAGGACGGGACACCCTGGGTGGACACACCGTGTAGTAGAGTTGGGGACGCTTGCCGACCCCTCATCGGGAACGGGCCAACCTTCCTAATGGGTTTATGAAGTTGGGGAGGTTCAAACGACCGCGATACACAGAGTAGCGTGGCCACACTGTGTGTCCCCTGGTGTGGGCTCGCTGATTCTGGAAGTTCCTTCTGCTGGTGGCTCCTGGGAAGGCCGAGGTCCTTGCTGCTGACCCACTCGGAGTGGCAGCGAAAACCTCTGGACACCCGGAAGTCGTCATTTCGGACACATTCCAGCTTCCAGAGTCTGACCCACGTCGTCCCTCGCGAGAAGGAGATCAAACTCCCACACTATACTTCTAAGAGCACTGACACCGTAATCTTGAAAGACCGGGACTCGTTTCTTTGCGCCGGATCTTGGCGCGTTCCGATCCTGCTGATCGGTCCAGGGTGCGATCCTCTGGGTAGCCCACACACGCGTTTACACACAGTCCTTATACGGCGCTCGAAGTGTGCGTGGACTTGGTTAGCTGGAAGGAACGGGAATGTGTGTACGTATGAGGTGAGAAAGAGAGGGTGGAAGGTGCGAGATCGGAGGTGGACCTTCCGATTCTTGTTGAGTGCCTGTTGTGTGTGTGTGTTTGGAGCGTTTGGAGTGGGTCCTGCTTGTCGTGCGTGATCGAGGATGCGCCTGGGGAGCGAATGAGCGAGCCTTATGAAATTCATTGAAAGTATAGTCATCCAGCATAACGTGTCGTTGAAAAGATACCGCTCGGCGAGCGATCCGACAGAAAGTCAGTCTCTGAGAGAGAAGTAAGAGAAAGAGAGAGAGAGAAAGGGAGAACCGACCCAGGGCACCGAGTCGAACATGGCAATGGTCAACATGAACAACCTGCTCAACGGAAAGGACTCCCGGTGGCTCCAGCTGGAGGTCTGCAGAGAGTTTCAACGCAACAAGTGCACCAGGCCGGACACGGAGTGCAAATTCGCCCACCCTCCAGCCAACGTCGAAGTGCAGAACGGACGGGTTACCGCGTGCTACGACAGTATCAAGGTAAGTTCCCTTTGGATATGACCCCGAATATGACTGGATATGACCCCACGTCCCCAACATCCCATTACCTACCTAGAGCCCATTTCGACCGTTCTGTCAGAGCTTTCGACATTGACCGTAGAAATGTATTATATATCACATATATGTATTATATATTCTTGAAGTGAGTATCCAGCGTTGAGATAATGCCGCGCGATAACAATAATGATCACTTCCTCCGTGAGGAATTAATTTTTTCTCGCGAAGGGGAACTTCTAAATTCTTCCATAACGAGGAAGACGTCTTCCAAGCAATTGTCCTTCCCAGGATTTCTTTTCCTCCGCGGCTTAGACCTCTTTCGAAAACTCCCGATAATTCGAGAACAATGTCACGTCGTTTACGAGGACGTCCTCGACGGCTTAGGGGGGCTTTCATTTTGTTTCTCCTCGACGGTTTCGAAGTTCGTCCTAGTTTCGTCCTCTTCTCGGATCCTTGCGTCTCTCGTTGCCCCCGTTTCCTCACCGGGGATAATATGAATTCTAGTCTTGTTTGGAATGCTCTACCGTTATCCGGAGGCTTTATGATTACTACCGGGAGGTGTGTTCTGTAATTGAGGACCGTCACTGGGAAACCGTGCCACCGGCGAAGAGGTGGGACGGCCAAAGACGAGGAGAAGTGCATTCGATGGCAATAAAAAAAGAAAAAGAAATTAGAAAAAAATAACCCGCGGCATAAAAAAGACGAGTTCATAATTTGACGTCATTTCATTTGCAAGAGAACCGCGTGAGAATTTCTGGAATTGATTACCGGTCCTTATCCTTTTGATCCTTAGAGAGGTCCGATAGACGCAGGAGATCTTCCGTGATTTTACGCATCTTTTTTTTGTTTATCTTATTTTGTTTGTTTTTTTTTTTTTCCGAATAGGATGGCGGGGGGCATTTTCCAATTTTCTTCCAGGGGAAGATTTAATTGCGGAGGTTCCGGGGATTTTCGGTTTATACGGCAGACGCGACGTTTGACGGTCGGATAGTCTCGATCTTAATAGAGGGGCTGGACCGGGGGATGCCAACACGGTTTTCCGAGGAAACGGGGGGACGCTTTTCCACTCAGAGGGAAACCTCTTCCGCTTCCGGCGACGAGGAAACCGCAGACGGTGTGGCGCCCGGCACGCCCGATGACGAAGAGGGCTTCTCGGCTGGGACCTTCCTCTCCTATTTTGCATTTCCACCTTTCGCTCCCTCATTCTCGACCTCCTCGACCTACCCGACCTCGATTTCCCCGTGAATTTATCAGCATTTCGATATTTCCTCCTTCGTATTCGGCAACGCCTCGAATTTTTTTCGCAGTTCTTCCATCTCTTTAAATCTCCCTATCTATCCTTTAATGTCTCCTCCTTCGCTCTTCGTTTTCAAATCCAACGGAGGGAAATTCCCTCCCTCTCGCGAATTTTCCCCGTGAATTTATCAGCATTCCGATATTTCATATTTCCAATTTTCGCCTTATCTCCTTGTCTCTTCGTTACATACGGTTTTACGTCATTTTGCGCTTCTAACTTCTCTAATTTGAAGTGTAAATCTTCCCTATAAACAAATCCAACGGGGGGAAATTCCCTCCCCCTCGCGAACCTCCACCTTCCTAGACTTCACCAGGCGAAAGTCTAGGCACGAAAATGTAAATTTTCCCGCAATTCTTTCCCCGAGATGTATTATCGTTCGCCGGGGTTGACATTACCGAAGACGAAGGACTGCTCCGCCGACTTCCGTCGTCCATTAAAACTGCAGAATTGAAAGAGCGCTAACGTAAGGGGGAGGTAGGGGGATTTATCTCCCGTCGTAATTCCGTAAATTCGCTTCGCCGGTAACGAGGGGCCTGAATTTTTCAGCCGATTTCCATTCGCTTTTCCGCGCGTCCGCCGACGTCTTTACCCGAGCCGATTTCCCGGGGAAAAGAGTCGCGTTTCCGCCGAGAAATTTAGTGCGGCTAGGCCGCGTTTCGCGTGCGTTTCGCCCATTGAAATTGCTATTCGGTCCGGCTCGAATTGCGGTCGATTTGTTACGACAGCTTCGCGCGTTGTGTCACGATATGCTATCGTGTACGAGGCATTAATCCAATAGCTCCAACCTGCACGAGAGGGAATAAAAAAAAAAAGAAAAAAGAAGGAAAATAGAACCGCCGACCATTTTCTCATTTGGTCCGAGTCGAGAGAGAGAGAGAGAGAGTTATCACATATATACTTTGTCCGTAAATGTTTGTTATTTTAAAAAATGAAATCGCATGAGCATGGGGTTCTTCCTTGGTGATGAGATTTCATATTATTCGGTGCACCCAGTTTGGAGGAAAGTTTCATAAATAATTTCAAGTTTCAATGTTTTTTTTTTTTTAATGAAATTTTTTTTAATTAAAATTTATGTTATGTCGAGACTCTTAGGAATGAATTAACAAACGTAAAGGTAACGCTCCGTCTCTTGGGAGGTTACTTTAAGCCGAATAGTTACGCTTCGGAGATAAGTTACGACGGAGGAAAATTAACATGTTCATTGGCTGTTAAAATACGGGGGAGGGGGTTAAAGTGCAGGTCGCAAGACGCGGTAAAACGGGGTCGGTTTAATTTTCGCTTGCGCAGTTTCCTCGGCGAGTGCATCGTTCCGTCGAAAATGCCCGGCGGGGTACCCTTTGAGGTTAATTCCGGGTTTCGTTAATGTCGCGCGTCCACTCGGCTGAAGGAGGCGCGCTGTTTGCCGGAATCTCGACGCTTGAGATCCGCTCCCGCAGTTACACCTCGGGGAGGGCTTAGATATCGTTTCTCTCGTTAACACGCCGTGAATGTACGCGTCGTTACGATCGCCTTAAGGGAGGGACAAACACAACGACACGTGGCTCGATTTAAGGCGACGTCAAAGTGGCGTCGGAGCGATTTTATCAGATTTCTCTCCAAACTGGGTGTACCGAATCGTTTAGAACCTGACAATGCGAATATGGAGGCTATAAGGAAGATCCTGGCCCTCGTGAAATTTCAATTTTCATAAACAATTTTGAAAATGTCTATAAACAAAATTTGAAAAAATTCACATTTCGTGGGCGTGAGGAGCTTCATTTTACCTTCCATGTTCACATTGTCAAGTTTGAAACGATTCGGTACACCCAGTTCGTGGAAATATTTCATGAACCAGTGATGTTTCGGACGCCACTTTCGCATCCCCTTAAGGGTAGTACGAGTGCAGCGACACCTGGCTCGATTTAAGGCGAAACACGAAAAATCGAAAAATCTCAGGCGAACGTCTGTGGAAAAAAGTTCCTAAAAACTGAGAAAATAAATTTCCAACCCGGTAGACCGTAGTCGATAATGAAAACTGCGGAGAATATTATCGTCCGGGACCCCGGCAACAGTTTTGCAACCGTTTATACAGTATCTCTCCTTTTTATTTAACTTTCCGAGGCCATACATCGGTCAAATGGGGGATTTACGTAGAGAGGGCTTCAGAGATGCGCATTATGCGGGAATTTGAAATTCGAACTATTTCCAGGGAAAAAGGGAGGGGGGACGTCGTTCCCTTAGAAATGGCGCGCGGTAATGCAGGTCCCTGCAAATCCTCCGGCGCGTTTCACGTTGCCCCCGGGGTGTCGTTTCGTCGCGTTGGGTTTCGACGTGAATTCTGCCGTCGGCGAGACCGAGTCGTTGCTGGTTAGTTTTGAATTTCCTCGTCGGCGCGTGTGTCGCTGCCGGCTTCACTTTTTTGCCCTCCGTAATTTCGACAAAATGGCGCCGCTGCTCACTGCGAGAATGGCCGCTCGTTTGGTTCCCACCTCCGTCCCCCCCTTTTCCGGTCCGCGCTCTCGGCGCTATTGATTCCAATTACCTTAAAACTTTCAATTAATTCAGCTGTCAGGCGTTGTACGCATTGGAGTCTCCTCTGGTCTCTCGTGCCATAAAACCGGTCGCCGCGTTTTATCGGCCGGTTGGCGCCAGTGTCGCCTCCTATTGGACGACGGCCGACCAATCAGCGCGCTCCTTTCTTACAGCCGAGCTCTAACCTTAAACCCATTATACATTCAGACTAATAAAAGCACATTATAGTACATGGGTTTTTATATCGACAGCTGGGTCGAATTATATTGGGTATTGTACCAAATGGCATACTCCACATGTCGTTTTCGTACAATAATTATAAAGAAATCCAAGTAAAACTCCAGAAATCATCTGGATTCGTGCTTTCTGGGGCCCTAATTGACTGCGGAGGGACCCCCTGCGCCATCTGTGATTTCCAGGCCAATTAAATTTTCACTCCGAGACACCTCGTATTCCCATCGTTTTGGCATAGAAGCGCGTACAACACTTTTTTTGCCTTTATCCCGTTCAAATGCGAGTTTATCGATTACCGAGTGTTCTAAATTGTCGTAAAATTGTCCTGACCCTTTCGATTGTCATATCAGAGCCTTCGATAATTGTATATCGATCGAAATATGAGAGCTCGACGCCATTTTGGTTCTGCTCTGAGCTGAGTTAAAAAATGTTTGTTAAAAAATCAAAATTTTCAATGTGTCAGGACAATTCTTAGATGATCAGGAGTGTCAAAGTTTCGGAGAGTTTGGTCTAATACCCTTAAAAAAAAAGTGTTGTATTTGAATTGACTAATTTGAAGGGGGTTTCACTTCACCTTAACAATTCATAAACCATTAATTCGGTTCCACCGGGTAATTAATTTCCCCAGCGGGTAATTAGGCATTTCTTCTCGTCTTTCCCCGCCAAGGGGAGTAAACCGAGCCTACTGCGCATGATTTACTCACCGATCGGGTCTGGTAGGATCTAGGGGAAATTTGTCTGGGGGGTTTCGCGCTATTGGCGCATTCCGTTGGGCGCGCGCCGCGATTGGTCGGGCTCTATCGGCCCGAACGCGGTATCGCTGGCGTTCCACGTTGGTGGAGACGAAAAATGTCGTTAACAGCTGCCGTGTGGCCTGGTGCACCTGTCGCGTCCGTTAACCGGGACTAAAATACGGAACGATAGCCGGCGCTGGGCCTCC